TCAATTGAAGAACTTTTCATGTGCTATTTGTTCTTGAGAAAAATTAATTAAAAACCTTCAATTATAAAAATGGGAGTTGAATTCCCTACTTTTCTTGAATGCATCCAAGGGGATATATAAAACTATTCATCCACCATGTGGGCCATTCAGATATTTTATAGTTTTAATAGATGCACTTATAAGATGGTCACATGTATGTTTGTTATCAACACCTAATTTAATATTTGCTAGATTACTTACCCAAATAATTCGATTAAGAGCACAGTTTTTAAATTATGCAATTAAAACAATTTGTCTTGATAATGTGAGTGAATTTTTATGACAATTTTTTTATGATTATTGCATATCAATTAGAATAATAATTAAAGAATCTGTTGCTCATATTCACACTCTAAATAGTCTAGCAAAATCATTCATTAAATTCCTCCAATTGATAACTAAACCAATGTTGTCAATGACAACACTTTTTTTTTTTTCATGGGGGACATCTAATTTTTACATGCAGCAAAACTAGTGCATATCAAGTTAACAAGTTATCATAAATTTTTTTTGTGTTATAATTGACTCTTAATCAAGAGCCAAATATTTTCTATCTTAAAATTACTAGATGTATGGTGTTTGTTCTTATTACTTCACCACACCATAAAAAGATGTGATCTAAAGAAGGTTAAAAACATGTGTTGGTTTTGAATAATAATAGTAAATTTTATATAATTTTCGATAACCAGAAAACAAGAAGATGGAAATTAGAATTATATTTCCCAGGTGGCATTGGTCGTTTCGGAATTGCAATGGCATTGCATGTTCATCAGGGTCAAGATTTCAATCCAAATTGATCTTAGCCACTCATTTAAATTATTTTGTAAATATTTTTATATTCATTGATAAAAAAAATTAAAAAATTAAATTTTTAATAAATTTTTTATTACCAATCTGGCCAATCCAGAATTAATCTAATAGTCTAATTTAATATAAAAGTTTTTATGATTATATAGTTTCATATTCAAATAGACTCTTAACAATTTGGATATAATCTAAATGACCTAGTTTAATATTAAAAATTATAAATTTTATAAATTAATCATTTACATGTATTTTAAATAGTTTAATTTAATATTAAATTTTTTTATATTTTTTTATTTTAAATAAATAATATTAAAAAATATTTAAAAATTATTTAAATGAATGGTAGCGTATTTTAAAGTTTAAACTCAGCCTGGATGAGCATTGGGTGCTAATGCGGACGCTGGTCGTTTCGTATTTACCCGCCACCCTTCTTGGCCATCTGTCATGCGGCTGAGGGAACTGGGTGTCGTATGATTACTCTTCCCCTCTAACCACACCAATGTCACATATATGGCACCGCTAGAATTGCGCTTTGAATTTTGATAGCTTGTCCCAAGGGTCTTTTTCAGTGGTAGAGCTCGATGGAATCGAAGCTGTACTCTCGGTGCCACCCTCCTAATTTCTGTCCGAATTTTGGCTTTTCCGCTGTCAATCTTACAGTCAATCTTACTGCAAATATTAAACTCCCTCTAACTTCCAAGAACGGACTTCACCGGGGTTCTCTGAAGCTTGGCTTTCGATCTAGTTTGCGCTTTGTTCCTTACAAGTCGGTATTGGTTCAGGATTCGACTGGGTCTTCGACGAATGAAAAAGGAGATGAGGAAGAAGCTTTGGGTTCTGTGGGACCTACTTACGTGCCCACACCTCCTAATCGAGCGCTTCGGACTCCTCATAGCGGGTATGCAACATGTTTATCTGATTGGTTTTAGCGATTAATTTGTTGTGTATTGATTCCGTTGTTTCTCGTTTTCCGGGTTAGTTATCATTTTGATGGGACTACTCGGAAATTCTTTGAAGGATGGTACTTCAAGGTGTCGATTCCGGAACGAAGGCAGTCCTTTTGCTTCATGTATTCTGTGGAAAATCCTGCATTTACTAAGAAATTGACGCCGCTGGAAGCGGCCCAATATGGACCGAGATTTACGGGAGTTGGGGCTCAAATTCTCGGAGCTAACGACAAGTACATTTGCCAATACTCTGAAGAATCACAGAACTTCTGGGGAAGTAAGAATACACGTTTTATACTGTCTAGCTGGATTTTTTTCGTTTTCAGTTTTCACCTCGAAGGCTCATGATTTCAATTTTTAGATTATGAAATTCGTCTTCTTTACTTAGGCAGTAGATAAAGGACCGGTGATTTTCTACGGCTTGTAACTTTATATACATGTATGCTTAGACAGGCATGAGCTTATGCTGGGGAACACTTTCACGGAGAAACAAAACTTAACACCTCCGAACTCGGAGGTTCCGCCTCAGGTTTAAACCGCATTTTAAAGATAATTTTTTCTACGCCCGATGTTATGCGCAATAGAATAATTGGTACTTAAACGAATTTGCTGGTACATTAGATTTGGATGTGCTTGTGAATTCCTCATCGAACGAATTTGCTGGTACATTAGATTTGGAGGTGCTTGTGAATTCCTCATCGAATTTTCTAATTTAGATTCTTTATTGTATGACTTCATTATTTAGATTTTTCATAATGGTGTAAATCTCGTGTCTTTCCTAGTTTACTGATATTTTATTTGTTGTAGTTCACTTGCATTGTCTCTGAGATTTTGACTGTCTAGTTACATATTGTTTGTTGTTGTTCACTTGCTACATGATTTTTTTTTTTTTTTGCAACAAAAGATACAGGCAAATTGTTTATGATGCCCTAAGTCATGACGATATTATTAGATTAAAAGTGGGTTTCTTTTTAAGTCTTATTCGTTTGCTTGTATTGGGTCATATTGCTTAGGAATTTACAAAAAGGGTGTCAGAAGGTTTTCAAGTTACTCCGCTCTGGCATCAAGGTTTCATCTGTGATGATGGAAGGTATGAATTAAATCTCCTCTTGGCATTTTCTGTCTAGTTATATGCGTTGCCTGACTTAAATTATAAATCTAGGTCAGATTATGTGGAAACAGTGAAAACTGCTCGTTGGGAGTATAGCACACGCCCAGTTTATGGTTGGGGTGATGTGGGATCTACACAGAAGTCTACTGCTGGCTGGCTTGCAGCTTTTCCTGTTTTTGAACCACATTGGCAAATATGCATGGCTGGTGGACTTTCTTCGGGTATGTGCTACTTGGCCATTTGTTGGATATTAGGAGTTTTTGTTCTCTCTCATGTACTTTAAAATTTGTATCTCAGGATGGATAGAATGGGACGGTGAAATGATTGAGTTTGATAATGCCCCATCTTATTCAGAAAAGAACTGGGGCGGAGGATTCCCTAGAAAATGGTTTTGGGTATAAGTCTCTTCCTCTATTAAAATATCTCTGTAGTGTTTATTTGTGCATTCATTCCATTGCCTGCTGTGAAACATCAATTATCTATGGTTTATATAAATTTCTAACTTTTTTATTTTGATCAAAATAGTGTGCTTAGAATTCAATGTCTTTTCACTTTTTTCTGGATGATAAATAAATACGAGTGAACGATCTAAGGCAAGAATGGTAATGGCTGAGCCTTTCACACTTCAAGAGATGGAATTCTTTTTATGCTTATGTAACATGGGATATGGAATTACATGCTATACTTCACGTTAATGGAATTAAGACCTGATTATCATGGTTCTAGATGCCTACTAAAACTCTTTGCCAAGCATTGCTGGTTAATTTGCTATGGATTATCGTATTGACCCTTTTTGTTTTTATCAATTTAGGGATGACCAGTTGTGTTTGTTTGTGCATGTCAAGTTGTTGATGTCTTTTGCAGGTGCAATGTAATGTTTTTGAGGGTGCTAGTGGAGAAATTGCCCTCACTGCGGCTGGTGGGTTGAGGCAAATTCCTGCACTTACAGAGAATTTTGAAAATGCTGCATTGGTAACTTGCTGGAGCATTTCTCTAAAAATATGGACATTTTCTTTTCTTTATTTGTTTATTGAACTTTATGTACATTAACAACTTACCCTTGACATAAATGATTTGGTTAATGAGATTGATAGGAGGACATTAAAGAGGACAAGGTCATGTTTATACTTTTTACAACTCTGACCTAAAGAAGGAAACACGTACTCTTTTGAGGTCTAGAATTGTACATAGATTCATTAATACTCGTTGGAACATTTGCCTTCCACTAGCAGTGGGTTGAGTCATGGCTTTGGTTCTTCATGGCCATTTTGAGTTATTATTTAATTTGAGAAAAAGAAGTGTAAAGGATGGGTATCTCTTGTGAAACGTTTTGACTGCTAAATCTGATTTGGATTATGTTTTTACCTTCATTAGTCAAGTTCAAAATACTCATGAATATTTATTCTCTCACCAGACCATTAATTTTCTATTTTTTGTTTTTGTTTGGGTCATTAAGTTTTAAACATCTTCTTCTGTGCATTTTTCCTAAATCTTGTAATATTTATTGTGTTCCAAACTATGAAACTGCTGCAGATTGGAGTTCACTATGGGGGGATTTTTTATGAATTTGTCCCATGGAATGGTGTTGTTAATTGGGAAATTGCTCCTTGGGGTTATTGGTTTATGTCAGCCGACAATGGGAGGCATGTGGTAAATTTTCTCTATTTTATTATTACTTGCTTTTTATCTTAGGTTGAATGGCAATTTGCACTCTAAACGATAGGTTCAAGGATGATTTAAACCCTGAACTTGTATTTAATACATTTTAAACCTTGAACAATTAAACTTAGAATAATTATTGCCTACTGTTAAAATGAGATAAATGTCCGTTAGAATTTAAAATGAGATAAAGTTGAAGTAGCAGATATGAGAATATTGAGATAGATGTGTAGGTATACAAGTAAAGATAAAATTTGAAATAAGCACATATGAGAAAAAATGGGCGTAGCACCTATTGAGCGAAAAATGGTAAAAAATCATTTGAGATTGTTGGACATATATAAAAAAGACCATAGGAGGCACTAGTGAGGAGAGTGGAACAGATAATTTTAAACCCTGTTAAAAGGGGTAGATGAAGGCTAAAGATAATACTTATGGAAGTTATTAACCGAGACCTCTTAATTAATAACATTTCTAAAAATTTGGCAAATGTTATAGCACAATGGTGTGGCACAATTTACATAGCCAACCCTACCTAATGGGATAAGGGTTGCTGTTGTCCGTTAGAATTTAAATAGTGGGACCCATAATCACCATCTCTCCTTCCCTCCTTCTCCACTCTTTCACTCTCTCTCTTGCCCTTGCTCTCTCCCCTATTCTTGTTCTCCATCCACTGTCTAGTCATTATTGGAATTCCATATAAACACACACGAGGATTTAGAAGAAGAAGAACAAGAAACTGTGTGTGTGTGTGTGTAAATTTGTATGTATGTACAGCTAGAGATGATTGGTGGGGGTGATTTTGGTGACAAGTCCAGGAAAAAACATCATTAGGATCATGGATGTGAGGGTTTCATTCTACGATGAACGAGTGGCTGCATTTGTGGTTGATGGAGTGAAGAGTCTCGCCTTCTTTGACGACTTATATCTCATTGCACAGCCATTCAAGTAGTTGCTTCCCTTAACATCGTCATTGCTATTGCCACTGCCACCACAGCTCTCTTTGATACACCTTAATAATATCAAACCCAGTAGTACTACACCATAGTGCAACGAACCTGAATCACTTTTTTTACTCCTATCGTCTTTAGCATTTTGTGGAAACCTATTTAGTGGGTTGGTGCAGGAGATATTGGCTGACTCTTTTAACATAGACATTGAGCTCATAGACAAGGTTCAAGGCATTAAGGATTCAAGAGGTCTGATCATCTTGGTTGAGGATGGCATTAGGTGGTAGTCCCCAGAAGAAGAACACAAAGCAAAAGGAGGAGGAGGGAGAGTGAGAGCGAGAGAGCGAAGGAGGAGACAAGGAGAGAGACGGTGATGATGGGCCTTACTATTTAAGAAGTAACAGATGTTTATCTCATGTTAACAGCAAGGGAAAAATTGCTCCAAATTTAATTGTTCAGAATTCAAAATATATCAAATACAAGTTCAGGGTTTAAATCGCTTTTGAACCTATAGTTCAGGGTCTAAATTGCCATCTAAAGTCTTCAAATTTTATTAGTAACCCCTCACTTTAGTGGAGGAATGCTGTAGTTACCAAGTTGGCCAAAACGGTTACATCAAGAAAATAGTGACCTAGACCTATTGATAAACTACTAAAACCATGAAAAAGAAAGGGAAAGGAGCAAAACCAAAAAAATTCAGATCAGATCTCAGCATCTAACATTATTTTTTAAAAATTTGGGAGGCTTATCCTATCATATCAATGAACCCTCCAACGGGAGGAGGATGCATATTAAAGTTGTTGAAGATCTCATTTGTTTTTCTTTCTTGCTCTCTTGGTATTCCCATAGTTCCTATGTATTGCATTCACCTTTGCTTACCCATAATGGTAGGAGGTTGAAGTCACATTCTATTTACACATTGTTAGTTCTCAATCAACGGCAAAGAGAGAATCCACTGACACTAAGTTCAGCCAAGTTATTGATGCCCATACCATAGGATGAAAATAAATTGAAAATTGATTAGGTCAGTATTAACACCATTCTCTAAAAGACCATTATTACTTGTTAATGTTGGTGTCAAGAGTATGTTTTATATGTGTGATGATAACTAGAAAAGACAACTGGTAATTTATATAAGCTTACATAATAGCTCCTACAAATTGAAAACCAACAGTGATGAATATCCTTTGGTTTCTATGACAGTAGAAATCTCTCAAGCAGCCTTTGCATTGGTGGATTTAGATTTTAGATTTAAGATCTCATATTTGAAATCTATGTATTTAAAATCCTTTGTTTAGATAATATAAAAAATATTTCAAATTCAAAGACAATGAAAAAGGATGATGGGAAATGAAAATGAAAAGAGATTAGAGGGTTGAGGTAGCTAGCATTTCAAATGAGATTAAGGGTCATTTTTCTTCCTTAACTTTATCCAAAAGGTCATTGGACACCTAAACTCAAGTAGGGGTCAATCTTGTCCCTTAACTTTAAAAATTTCCTCTTTTGTCCCCTTACCATGTTCTTTTTGTGTGTTGATTGTTTAGTAGGCCTCACATTGATTTTTTAATATTTTTAATGTTAAAATATTAGTGGGCCCTACACTTCATCCCCCCTCTCTCCTCCCCTATCGTCCATTCTCATCTATTCTCTCGCCTCTCTCCTCCATCTTTCTGTTGGCATGAGCAACGAATAGAGATTGCTTTACCTACCGCTAATGCATTGGAGGAGCATTGCTCCACCAACCCTCAAAGATAAAGTAGGTGTGGGATGCATGATCGGTGCTTGCCATGCCTTTGACAACTATAGCAATGACCTTGAGAATTACTTTCCCATCATGATCCTCACCTATAATTGCACCTACCACAACAAAACTGTCACATATGGAGGGTACTTTGACCACATGGTCATCAACCACCATTACGTTGTCCTCTTCCCCAACACCATGCCCCTCCACGCCGAAGCTCGTCTACTTTGTGCTAGCATCACTATCTATAGTCCCTTGAAATATTATGGGCTCATCGAGCCTAGCAAACACGTCAGAGTAGTCAACCTTGGTAGTCTCGGCCATCTTGCTGTCAAATTTGCTAGGGCTCTTGGCGCTGAAGTTACTATTATTAGCACCTTTTCCAGTAAACAAGACGAAGCATTTCACCACCTTGGAGCTCATTTGTTTATGCTTAGCAGTGATCAACATCAAATGCAAGTACTTGCCATCAATAATTCAATGTCATTTACATTGGTACTATGTGAGATAATTCGTCTTATTTGCTGATATTATTGCTCAATCATTTGCTTAATCGAGTACTTATGCAGAAGGCCATGGGAACAATAGGTATTGGGTGGTATTATTGACATGGTCTCTACTGTGCACAATTATCGCCATTGATAAAGTTACTAAAGTATAGAGATCACTATACCTATCGCCACTGCACTGAAGGAGGTTGGTGAAAGATGAGAACCACAGAGAGAGAGAGAGGACATCCTTAAGCGATACACGCATGTATGCATGAAGGTGGAAAAAGGGATGTGATATGTCACCCTTCTTGTCATTTTCATTGCCACCATCTACTCCTCCAAGCCTTGCACCATCTTCCTTGTCATTTTCATGCATGTGTGATTTGAACAAGGTTGAGCGAAGAGCGAGAGTGTGTGAGAGAGAAAGAGCTGCTAGTTTGAAGATAGAATGAAAGGGATGGAGTTTGGGAGACATAGGATTGATGAGAGAGAAAGTAGGTAGGAGAGAGAGGGGGAGAGAAGGAGAGGTAGGGAGGGGAGAGAGAGTTGGGGAGGAGATAAAAAATTCAAATATGAGACCCATATAATGGGAAGATAATGTTGGGGGCACTGTGGACGGAATTTCTAATGTTGAGACTTGAGAGACAGAATTGACCCTTAATTGAGTTTCAGATGTAGTGACCTTTTGAGTAAAGTTGAGAGGCAAAAATGACCATTAACTCTTTCAAATAACTAGGGTGTAGGAAAGTGTTGGAATTACTAAGAAATTATAATAAAATATGGATTTGGATTTGGATCATAAATTTTTATAGGTCCAAATGTTGGATTTGTTCTCTATTTCTTCCCCACTCCTTCCAACCTATTCACACAGCCCAAATTCCTTTCCGAATCCTACCAACTCCTTTCTTGAGTCCTACAGAAGATCCTCTAGTTTAATTTCCTCTTGCTTATCCTTGCAATATTACGATCTTTCTGAACCCTCTGCTGGAGCCTTGTATTAACACTGAAAATCACTAGGAAATTAGTGCAAAACCTCTTCTGTGAGGGATGGAAGGGGACAAATGAAGACAAAATCACTAATTCACCTGTCACAGCTGCCAAAAATGGATATGAAACGAGAAAATAGCAGAGTAGGCATTACATCCCAGCCTTTTAAGAGGTCCGGTCTCTCCTATGCCAATCATGTCAATTCCTACCTCACTTCTTGCACACAACCTTGTGTAACAGCCACTCAAAGGCAAAACCCCTCTTGGTGTTTTGAGTCATGGGCATTCACCATGCTCCAAACAGCCACCTGCTCTAATGCTAAATTGATAGTAACCAGAATAAAGAACTGGCAATTTATGTAAAACAGAAAAATATATACAAATAAAAAACCAACAGGAATGAAATTCCTCATGGTTATTCGAAACAGTAGGAACCTCCCATAAGTACTCCAGAATCTTTTCACCCTATTCCTCTCTCTCTTCATTCTTTTAAACCTCAAAACTACCCATAACTGTTTAAACTGCATTCTTCTGCTAAAACTATCCAAAAACTGACCAGAACAATTAAGTAACCACCTCATGAACCAAACAATTAACCAAAACAGCTACATAACCACCTGCTGCCTAAAAGTTACACAAGACAGTTACATAAATTTTGGGTCTGTCAAAATACTAGTTCTAGATGCTACGAGAATTTCACGTCATATTTTTCTTATGAGAAGAGAGAAAAATTAAGAATGAACTCAAGAGGACCAATTTTATACTTGCAAGTGGGAGGTTGCTTTTTCAGCCTAGAAGAAACCAAGTATATGGGCCTCTGTTGATTGACAGATACAATGTCTTATGTTTTGGCAGGTTGAATTAGAGGCAACAACAGAGGATCCAGGTACTGTATTGCGTGCTCCAACAGCAGAATCTGGTTTTTCCCAAGCGTGTAAAGATACTTGTTTTGGTATGCTAAAGCTACAAATGTGGGAAAGAAGATATGATGGCAGCAAGGGAAAGGTATTTTCTTATTCATGTTTAATATGATTTATTTATAAGATTGCCAAGAGTAGGGAAAGAAAATCAAGAGATCTAGAACAGGTAAGGTGTATTAAGGATGAAGAGGGAAGAATTTTAGTTACAGATGATGAAATTAAAAATAGATGGGAGACTTATTTTTCTAAACTTTTCAATGATGGAGAGGATTCATCTAGTAACTTGGAGGATTTAGTAATTGGTGAAGGAGAACAAAATTTGTCATTCTATCGAAACATACGTGATAAGGAGGTAAAGGAAGCTCTTAAGAAAATGGCAAATGGTAGAGCTAACGGACCTGATTGTATATCTATCGAAGCGTGGAAATGTTTAGGTGAAGAAGGGGTGAGATGGTTAACTAAGTTATTTAATGTGATTTTACGGTCCAAGAAAATGCCTGATGAGTGGAGGAGAAGTACATTAATTCCTATTTATAAAAATAAAGGAGATATTCAGAATTGTACTAACTATAGAGGGATTAAACTCATGAGCCACACAATGAAATTGTGGGAGAAAGTAATTGAGCATAGGTTGAGATTGGAGACAAGTATTTCTGAGAATCAATTTGGTTTTATGCCAGGTAGATCAACTACAGAGGCGATTTATCTACTAAGGGGATTAATGGAAAAGTATCGTTGTAAAGATAAAGATCTACACATGGTTTTTATTGATTTGGAAAAAGCTTATGACCGTATACCAAGAGAAGTGCTTTGGAAAGCGTTGGAAAAAAAGGGAGTACGGATTGCTTATATTAAAGCCATACAAGATATGTATGAGGGGGTAAAAACTAGTATAAGAACGCCTAGTGGTCAAACAAAGGATTTTCCTATAAAGATTGGGCTACATCAGGGATCATCTCTGAGTCCTTATTTGTTCAACTTGATTTTAAATGTTTTGACGGAACATATTCAAGAGGAAATCCCGAAATGTATGCTCTTCGCGGATGATATAGTTCTTATAGCAGAGACAAGAGAAGAGGTTAATTGCAAACTTGAGTTATGGAGGAGGACATTGGAGTCGAAAGGTTTTCGTCTGAGTAGAAGTAAGACGGAATATTTATATTGTAAATTTGATAAAGGACTATTCGAAAATAATTTGGAAGTAAAATTGGGAGATCAAATTATACCTCAAGTGGAAAAGTTTAGATATTTGGGAGCCATTATCCAAAATGATGGCGAAATCAGTGGAGATATTTCACATAGAATTCAAGCTGGGTGGTTTAATTGGAGAAAAGCTAAAGGAGTTATTTGTGACCGTAAGGTGCCTAATAAACTTAAAGGAAAGTTTTATCGTACTGCTATCAGACCGGCAATGTTATATAGTAGTGAATGCTGGGCTCTAACGGGACAGCAAGAGCATAAAGTTGGAGTAGCAGAGATGAGAATGTTACGATGGATGTGCGGACATACACGTAAAGATAAAATTCGAAATGAGCACATACGTGAAAAAGTGAGGGTGGCACCTATTGAGGAAAAAATGGTAGAAAATCGGTTGAGATGGTTTGGGCATGTACAAAGAAGACCAAGGGAGGCACCAGTGAGAAGAGTGGAACATATAACTTTGAGTCCGATTAAGAGAGGTAGAGGAAGGCCTAAGAGAACACTCTTGGAAGTTGTTGAACGTGATCTCTTAATTAATAATATTTCTAAAAGCTTAATAAATGATAGAGCACAATGGCGTCTTGCAATCCATGTAGCCGACCCCACCTAGTGGGATAAAGGCTTGTTGTTGTTGTTGTTGTTGTTTAATATGATTTATTTGGGATTTGGTTTTCATTCTCGTTCTCTATTTGAAGGAATTGCTTTATTACCAATTAAGATTGATAAATGATTCTTAGACAAAGGATTGCCTTGATACAAATACAAATTTTTGCCTGGCTGGCGATCTCACTTCTCAGAAACTTGGGTCTAGAATATGGCGATGCTCCATTGGTCTGCCCATGTGAACATGTGAACAAAGGAATCGGAGACTGGATGGTTATTTTAACTGAAATTTTCTGAATCGTTCCCTCTTGTAGTGCACGGGCACTTGTATGTTCTCACTTGCCAATGTGCCTGCCTCTCTGCTGGCTAGAACTTCAACTAAGGTTACTTTGATATTAGGCCCTCGTGTTTCTTGCATCTCTACAATTTCTGACAGATTTCAAGGTTTATGGAATGTTATGTGTTAAGAGATCTAATACAAAGATACAGAGAACAATTCTCATGCAAGATAACATTACGCAAGTAAATTGAGCTTCAAAGTCCAGTGTTTCACATGAACATATTGTATACAGCGTTCAAATACAAATATTTCGAGTTAACATTCCTTCCATGCCGGCACTGAAAAATGTTTGAATTGATTAAATGTTAATGATAAGAGACTTCGGGTATCATGTCTATTTAGTCTATTTGGAGCATTCTCGTGATTTGTAATATTCATTGGTGAATTGCAGAAAGTGTTGGATGTGACAAGTAATATGGCAGCTGTAGAAGTTGGAGGAGGCCCATGGTTCAACAAATGGAAGGGCCAGACTTCAACTCCAGATATCGTAAGGCGCGGCCTTGCATTGCCCGTGGACATTGATGGCATTTTCGGTCTGGTTCCTTTTTTCAAACCACCAGGCCTATAGCCAGCCAAAGTTTGTTGAGGTCTTCTAGACTTTCCCCTGTTGCATGGGGTTCTCCATAGGGAAGTGAAAGAATTGACTTCACTGCTTAATATTTATAAATGACATTAAGATTCGGACCTAGCCTATTGGTTGGATGTGGAATCTAGTAAACTCATCACTTGTTCGATCTGATCCAGAGCAGTGGTGGAGCCACGATATATATATATCTATTTTTTTTTTTTTTTGGGGGGGATGCACCCCCTTGTATGGGTAAAATTACATATGTAAAATGAAAAATTTACAACCTTGCACTTTTTATTTTTAGTATTTTGAGCCCTTTAAACTCAAAAAAGAAATATTTGGGTTCAACTTTAAACTTTATATCAAACTTCTCAACATATTTTTGCCCAAAAGAAAAGGCTTTCATATATATTTTTCCAGATAAAAATATGTATAATTTTATTTATGCTATTATATTTTTTGTCCTAAGTAATTATTTTAAAAAATATAATATTTTTAAATTATATTGTCCTGCACCTCCTGATACAGGATTCTGGCTCTGTCGTTGATCTAGAGAATGGACTGAACCAACCAAAAAGCAGTGGTCAAAACTGAAAAATCTGGATCTATTAATTCAACCCATTAATTATTTTTTTAGTTTAAATTAGGTTTCTAAGTTACTCCATTCGATCTTCCTCGTAAGACACCCTTTAGAAGAGATGAATGATTTTTATTTTAAGTCATTTGATGGAATATTCTTTCATCAAAAAATATAAGATATTTTTTGAGGGGTTATATGTTTAAAAATATAAAGTATTTTTAGTTTTTTAAAATATTCCCTCCATTGAAAAATGTAAGGCATTTTTTAAAGAGTTGGATGTTTAAAAATGTAAGGTATTTTTAATCTTTCATGGTGTAATTATTATCTTTTTTTCAAAAGTGTTTCTATTAATAATAACTCTATATTTATTGTAAGGTGTTTAATAGGGGTAAATATGAAAAGATAAGATTAGTTGAAAAGTAAGTAACTATTTTATTAGAGGTGAGATTTGATTACAAATACCTTATATTTTTAAACAGAGGGAGTATAATTATTGCTTTTTTTTAAGTGTCCATATTGAATAAATTACTTTATATTTATTTTAGGGTGAAATATCATATTAAATAAGGATAAATATGAAAAATGAGGTTAGTTTAAGAGAAGTAACTACTTTATTGGGTGACATTTGATGGGTGACATTCGGTTAAAAATGTATTATAATTTTGAACAAATGGAATATTAATTAAGTTTTTTCAATATTACTTTTATTTAAACTTATTAACCATGAGAGAGAATATGATGCAAGTATGAAATTTTTTCATTTAAATATGGTTGAAATTATAGATTCATGTCCCTATACTTGTTTTTAGCATAAAGTTACTCCAAATTTTGAAAAACAGTGCAATGTTTTTTTTTTATTGTTACTAAAAATTAACTTTAACTGTTAATTATTTAAAAAATAATATGAAAAAACATCAAAAACTACAAGAGTCAATCAAGAAAATTTTCTTGATTTTTTTTTTGTAATTTTGTGTCATTACTTATAATTTTTGAAGTCATTTTTGTAATTTTTTATCACTTTTTGTGATTTTTTTTGGTTCTAATATATTATTTTCTAGTCAACTAGTCATTAAAGTTAACATTTATTAATGATAAGATTGAAATTATATCATTTTTAAAAATTAAAAAGTAATATTGTAACAAAAATGAATTTAAGATCCGAGACATTTTTGTACCTATGATTTAAAGACCAAATTATATTTAACCATTTTATTTTTGGACAAGACTTGTATGCTTAATATTTTATATTCAAGATATATTTATCCAATCAATTCAAGACATTTTAATGTGATAGTAATATTAATAGCAAAAATTTATTTTAGAATAGACAACATATAAAAGATATACATCTCTTGATTTTATTGAATAAGCACTTCAAATATATAAGTTTTTCCTTTTATTTTTTAATTAAATTTTCTTTATTTGAAAGTAGTAAATTTTTTTGACCACAAAAGTAGGTTGTTAAGAATATATTAATTTAATACAATTGAACTGATTTTATGAATTGTTTGCCGAACTGTGAATCAATGTTATTATTGAGCTTGTTTGGATTCGCATTTGCATAGTTACTTTTTGTGTAAACTACAATTTGCAAATTAACGTTGGGTTCAAAATAACTTATTGTAATATGGTTTATATTTAGATATTTTTTTATTAAAAAAATTCAATTTAACACATTAAAACTTATTTGAATATATAATTAAGTAGAAAGGACGTAGGCTTTTAAAAAAAAAAACAAAACAAAAAGGATATGGGCGCTTTAAAAAAAAAAAACTAAAAAGGACCTCCCTCACGCATATATAAGGATGCAATTTGATAAATTTAAAAAAATATTAAAACTATAATTATAATTATAATTATAAAAATAAAAGAATTAATGTATTGATGTAAAAATTAATTTCAAATGCTAAAAAACTTAATTACATCTATTTACAGAATATATATATATATATATATATTATAAATAATAAAAATATCAAATTTCAAAAAGAAAATGTGAAAGAATAAATAGGTTATTCAATAAATTTAAAATGAACTAAATGCCACTAATGGTTTGATTTCAATGCAACTAATATAAAATCTTTAAAATTTAAATTTTGGCCTAACTATATTTGAAAAAGAAAAACTCATTTGTAAACTATTCTTACTCAAACATTTTTTTTTTTTTACTCCCAACTAGTTTTTAAACCTGTAAACTATAGTTTAAGCCAACTAAATAAAATTTCAAGCAAGCATTTAGTTTTCAATGCATATTTACATATTGAATATCGATCATTATTGAACCATATTTAAACTTGTCGAAATTCTTTCCATGGCTTACAGAACCTAACTAGAACCTACCGAGTTGAAAAGAACGTTCGGTGACTCTTCCATGAAATGAAACTCTTTAGTTCATAAACATTAAATAATTGAGTTACTGAGTTTTAACAGGAAAAGCAAAAACGGAAGGGTAAAAATTGAAAAGAAGACAGAAAAACAACATAGAGATCAAAAGGTGCAAAATGTAACGTGTAATATTAGTAGGAGGTTTTAATTTGTCAGCGGATGACAGGACAAACTCATTTTAGATTTGATTAGATAATTTAGATTGGATAGTTTTAAAAATATAAATTAATCTGTATCATTAAAATTTAATATGAAAGTACAGTGAAGAGTGGAGGGAGAACGCAGAGAAACCAACTCCGTCCAACGTCTGGTAGAGATTCTGCTGCACAGTATGCTATCCATTCGCGTGTCTGAGTTCAGGCCACTCCATTCTCGCCACTTTACAGCCACACAGTAAATGGATATTTTTATCTCAGACTACGGGACTTCAAACCTCCTGAAATAAATGGAAAGAACAAATTTTACAGATTTTCGAAACAAATCCTCAGGAAACTCAGTTGACGTGTGAAACTAAACGAAGATCTACAATTTGTAATAATATAAATAATAAAAATAGACAACTGTTTTTGAGGTTGGCAATAAACAGATGATATAATGGTATGGTTGGATTAATGAAAATTTGAATTTGAACAAAATCTTTCATTTAAATACACAAAAATTTATAAATTTAAATTTGATTCAAATATTTTAAATTTTTGTTAAATTATAATTTTTTTTATAATTTTAAATTTTATATGCATCCTAGTGGTTTGAAATTCTAATTCATGAAATATATGGGGCCGGACACGTGCTTGTAGATAGAAAAAGAAAGGGGTGGCGGCGGCCGGGTGTAGATATGAAATCCGAGGTTTGCAAAATAATTGAATTTGAAAAATAAGACGATCATAAGATTAGCCCAACGTGAAGATCTTTTGAGCCACAAATGATGAAATGAAAACAAACAACGCAGAACCGACCAAAACCACAAAAAGCATACTGTATTATTGTAAGCAATTGCCCCATCGTAGGGGACCCTCTCTTTTAGGATGTCATTCTCCAAGACAGAAATATCGCCCTAAATTAATTTCTATATTTTCAATTTAAAAACTACCATATGTTTGTTACATGCACGATCAAAATGCATATTATTGTTGTTCAGACAGCACAGGTTGTCATAAATGGTCAAGAATTTTGAAGAAAATTCTTGTTTTACCCATAGGCGTGGTTTCAAATTCCTATAAAATCACCCAATATGGTTTAGTGGTAACATATACTCTGGCACTTATGTATGAATTATTTAATGAGTATCTGTGACTAAGCAAAATTAATCAGGCTCTAACGTGTTAGCGGGCATATATATATATATATAATCCTAGCCGAGAGTGTCATATTATTATTATTTTTGGAGCAGCATTAGCTATTCAACGAAGTTATTTTAATGTTGTTACCTTGGAGGAGTGCGCAGGGTTAGGGTGCAAGTAATAATGCAATGCATTATTATTATTATTTTAATTACCTCAGAAAAGAAAACCGACTGGGTAAGCATTTATCACGAGCGAGTGTGAAGTTTTGCCATTTTGTATCCATAAATAGTACTATCGAGTGGGGGGAGTAGAAGAGAGTAGAGTCCAGCAGAGAGAGATGGCGACCTCAAGAGTTGTGAGCATTGTTGTTGTGGTGGTGGTGTTAGTGATGTGCGTGAGTAGTGCATATCACGCCATGGGTGCTTTGACACCACAAGTGCAGAAAGCAATCGATGCGGCTAACCGCGGAGGACCCTATCTTGGTTTGGTCATCCCAAACTCCTTCGAGCTCGACCCTCTTCTTCAGTCTCCTAACTACACTGCTTCCCAGTTGGTCATTGATTTTGCTGGTACCTAGTTCATCTTTCTTTACTATATATATATATATATATCTCTATTTTGGTAGAATTCTTTACTATATATTTACCAGCCATATATAGCTGTAAATGCGTGTGTGCGTGTGTGAGAAAACAAGACCATATTCATGTACTCTCTCTCTCTCCCCCCATTATATATATGGTTTCTCATCATGCATATTGATTCATATTTGAACCATATATTGACACTTGTGTTTATGAATGAATTGAGGGAGGAGATTTCGGTTCGGATCTATTGAAGGCCAGCCTGTTATTTTGGTGATGACGGGACTAAGCATGGTATAATACATATGAATCAGTTTGTGTGTGTGTGAGCCATGGTTTCCGAATTAATTAACTTTGTCCATTTTTGTGTGTTGATTGGAGCGCGAAGTAATATAATTACTTAAACATGACTGAATATAACGTAAAAGGGAACTTACATGGTGTGCAGATAAACGCAGCCATAACAACTCAACTTCTGATAAGCTCCTTCGACGTAAAGGGTGTGGTGCATTACGGCATTGCCGGGAATGCTAACCCTAGCCTTCACATTGGAGATGTTGCCATCCCTCAGTCCTGGGCTCATCTAGCTCTTTGGAACTGGCAGGTGTGCATATATATATGCATAATTTATAATCTTAATTAATTATGAGTTAATATATAAATTGCGCTGCAGAGGTATGGACAAGGGCCTAACGACACGCTGGCCCTAGAATCAAACGGGGACTACACGAGGACTGTTGGGCACTTGAAATTTGCAGATTATACGTCCAACATCACCGAGGGAAGCTCCTATGATAACCTTCTGAACAACATATGGTACCAACCGGAGGAAGTTTTTCCCGTTGACGGCACTCCTGAGCAGAGGCAACACATCCTCTGGGTCCCCGTTGATTCCCAGTACTTCCAACTTTCTGCCACTCTAGAGGTATCTGCGACATACTCTCTCTCTCTCTCTCCCCCCCCCCCGACTGACTCATCGCAGCAATATAAGTTATGGTGTATATGTAGGGCATGGAGCTGGTAAGCTGCTTGAACTCGACGACGTGTTTGTCGACGCAGCCGAAGGTGGTGCGAGTGGAGAAAGGAACGAGCGCGAGCATATACCTGGACAATGCGGCGTACAGGACCTTCATCTACGACAAGTTTAACGTGAGCCCCGTCGACATGGAAAGTGCTTCCGTCGCCCTCATCTGCCTGCAGCAGAGGGTGCCCTTCATCGCTATCAGGGCTCTCTCCGACTTGGCCGGCGGTGGATCCGCTCAGTCCAACGAGGCGGACACCTTCTCCTCCCTCGCCGCCACCAACTCCGTTGCCGTCGTCGTTGAATTTGTCAAGCAGCTGTCGCTTCAGGAGAAGTTCTCCATGTAATCTGTTGTGGTTGTCGTCTTGTCGAGTACGGTTCCCACTTCCCAGTAAAATAAAGGCGCCGCTGATCCTTTCTTCCTCGTGCGCATAATTAATGCTCCCCCCTTCGTATGTTCTTTCCTGTAGCATGCAAGGCTTGGTTGACTGGTTAATTAAACGGTTTGAGAAAATTAAGAAATTATTGCTTCTTCTTTTTATTATTCTTGACACCTCTTTTCATTTTAAATTATAAAAATTTTTAAATAAAATTTAACATATATTATTAAATATATTTTATAATTTTATTTTTAAAATAAAAATATACACTTTTAAAATTATCATTCATTTAATACTTCATTAATAAAAAAATATTAAAAAAATATATAAAAAGAATAATATTAAAAAATTATTATTAATGAAATTTTATTTTTATTAATGTATCTTATATTTTGAGACATTAAATTTTTTCTAAAAATATTTTATAATTTAAAATGGAGAGAATATTATTATTATATTATTATTACTATTATATTGTTGTTGTTGTTATTGTTTGAAATGAACGTGTAATTTTTTTTTGGGTAAATATTAGTACTTTGTTTTATGTTGGAAAGTCACATGTTTTAACAACATTAAATGATCCATAATTTTTACTCTTATAATTTTAATAATTTTTTCATCTTAAATTATAAGATACTTTTAGATAAAATCTCACATATCAATAAATCTCATTAAATATATTTAACAACTTAATCTTTTTAAAATAAAAATATAAACTTTTAAAAATACTAATCATTTAGCATATTAAAAAAAGAAAAGATAGAAATTAATTATAAAGGAAAAAGGATAATATTGAAATTAGTACATTAGTGAAACTTTAATCTACCCAAAGTTTGTTATATTTTTGGGTGAAAAAATTTCTTCAAAAATGCTCTATAATTTGGGACAGTGGGAATAGTTTTTTTTTTTCCTTAACTCAAGTAAGGCCTGATAATGTTCCTTTACTTTATAATAATAGGTAATAGGTAATACCAGTGCATTTCAAATATTGGAATGTTTTTGAACAAATAAAACAATTTACTAACTTTTTTAATCCACTTGGAAAATATTTGAAACACCTCGTATAAGGGATCAGATGGAGTATATAAAAATTTCTTGCCTATAAAAAATAAACCATTAATGTCTTCGGTCTTAAACATAGAAGTTGGTTGTATATGGAGTTTGTTTTGATTGATCTATTATAAGACTTCAATCTCGCTGGTTGTCTTATTACTTTTTCTTAAAAAACAAAACTATTCCTGTTTACTTCTTCCTCTTGCATAATTTTTCCACTGCAAAATAGTAGACTGAATTAATGAGATGGGTATTTTTCGAAAGCTATCACGAAAATTTGAGACGTTATTATTAATGATAAATAACTAACTTGACTGTATGAAATTTAATTAGCCCATGCCCCAGACATTTAAGATACTAGGGGGAGTGAAGACAAAAAAATTAATGATTGGTATTAAAAGAAGACAAAGTTGGAAAAGTTTGGATATATATTTTCTTGATGAGTGTGCTTGTTAGATAAAAATACTTTATATTGACTAATTTTCCATTTTTGCAAAAAATAAAATTTGCAAACCAGTTATCAAGAGTCTGTTTTTTTTTTTTTTAAGCAAAAGCAAGCCATTTTATTAATATGAGAAACAAAATTACTAACCCCTGTTAGAAAAGAAACGAGAACAACCTAAGAATACAGTAACCTACAAGTCTGTTTTTTAAAATAAGATCTTTGTAATATTAACTTTATTAATCTACAATTAACTATCAAATCTGAGGTAATCAAGAATTTAGCCTCATTAAGTTTGTAGTGTATAAAAATAGAATCTTAAGTTTTCATGATTTTAAAATTCATTCAAGAATTCTTAACAAACTTTTAATCAAAGTAAAATATAGTTATGGAAGCATGAGATATCTTGTAAGAATAAAAAGACTTAAAAACAATTAAAAATTAACAAAACATGAAAAACAAGGAGGTGCGTCATGGCCTATGCACTAGGCTTCCCCTTTTTCTGTATAACGTGCCGTAGCATATTGCACACTTTCAAAAGCAATTCTACCATTATATGATCATGCCATGAACAAATGTTCAATAACTAGCATGCAAATTCATGCTTCCTAATAGCATGCAACTTTTATTTACATCAATCTCTCATGCTTATCAGCATTATAAATATAATCATACTCAACACAAGTCTCAATTCACAATTTTCTTTTTTCACAAGCACCCTTATATGCTTTAATATTTACTCACAAAAACAATAATATATAATATATATTTCTCACAAATGTTATTTACATCAATTTCATCATATCATATAAACTTATTCATATTGCCACAACTTGCATCAGATATAGCTTTACAATATATCAAGATCTTTAAATAAGTCTTTTCACATATAACCAATTAATCAAGCAAATGTATAAACTAAATTTTTTCCGATTACCTCAAACCTTTAAAAGATCAAAGGTTATCCCTTAATCACAACTTGATTTTTGAGATAAATTCAAGCTCATCAGTGCCTCACAAGATTAGTTTACAATTAATATTAACACCCATCACTAATAATTATCAAAATCACTACTTCCAACATCTAATTTCATACTCTAATAATCAAATTTCACAACTAAAAGATCAACCTCACATTCAATAAGTTCATTAACTCCTATTAACTTTAATATGCATTTATGATATTTTAAAAACATAATGTTAGTGCAATATCCTAATTCTAAGTGCCAAGTCATATTTGAATATAAAGTGCGGATATCCTGAAAATTGAGGTGATAGAGGTTATGTTTCACTTTTGACCCTTACTTTACTCAAATACGAGATAACATATCTTGAAAGTGAAATTTAGGTATCATTGATTCAAATATGTATTTTGGATATCTTAGAAATTTACACTTAGTGTCATGTTTTAAAATTATACATGGGTACTCTCAACTATATGCGATCATTCTTTCGTGATATACAAGCACTCTTCAAGAAATGGCTTTCATTTATTTGAATATGCATTTTTTATATTTTAAAAATTTACACTTAGTGTCATGTTTTAAGACAATATGCAAGTATTTTCAACTATATGCGATCCTTCTTCTACGATATATAAGCACCTTTAAAGAAATGCAAATTGGATTTCATTTATTCAAATATGCATTTTGAATATCATAAAAATTTACAATTAATGTCATGTTTTAAGACAATATGAATGTATCTTCAACCATATACAAGTACGATATGCAAGTACCCTTTAAAGAAATGCAAACTGGCTTCTGTTTATTATAATGTATTTTGAATATCTTAAAAATTTAGGCTTAATGTCGTATTTAAAGACAATATACAAGTATCTCAATCATATATGACCCTTCTTTCATGACATGCAAGCATCTTTTAAAGAAATTGCAAATTGGCTTCTATTTATTCGAATATGCATTTTGCATATCTTGAAAAAGTATACTTAATGCAGTACTTTAAGACAATATGTAGGTATTTTCAACCATATGTTGCTCTTCTTCCACGATATGCAATTGCTCTTCAAGGAAATGTAAATTGGCTTCCATTTATTCAAATATACATTTTGTATATCCTTAAATTTTACACTTAGTGTCATATTTTAAGACAATATATGACCCTTCTTTCACGACATGCAAGCATCTTTTAAGAAAATTGCAAATTGGATTCCATTTATTTGAATATACATTTTGCATGTCCTGAAAATTTACATTTAGTGTCACGTTTTAAGACAATATGCAAGTGTTTTTAACCATATGCGACCTTTCTTTTATGATATGTAAGTACCTTTCAAGGAAATGCAAATTCGCTTCCATTCATTTGAATATGTATTTTGAATATTCTAAAAATTCACACCTAGTATCATATTTTAAGACAATATGCAGGTGTCTTTAACCATATGCAACTCTCATTCCACAATATGCATGCACCTTTCAAGAAAATGCAAATTAGCTTTCATTTATTTGAATATGTATTTTCTATATCCTGAAAATTTACACCTTGTTTGACATAATAATACCGAAGAACCTTGTTTAACATGTTGACACCAAAGGACTTTGTTTTATATATTGTCACCAAATTATTGATAGCAAAGGGCCTTGCTCAACATTTTTTTAATCATAAAGGCAATTTGATCATTTGGAGCTTTGAATTAATATCAGTGAAGAACTTTAATTTGGAATCTCTCTAAGCCCTTCTCAACAAGGTTAAATTTGATCAAGTCTTTTTAAGCAATCTTTCCTAAAAGGGGGAAAAAGCAATGTAGTTGAATGGTCAATGCTTCGGAGCTTGGAGAATCAAACATGTCTAGTTTTTTTTTTTAGATCAATGCTAAACTATCCTTCATTCAAAAAATAACATATTTTTTTAGGTTTTATGTCAAAAAAATATAACATATTTTTAGTTGGGGATCAATGAGTCTTTCCCCCTTAAAAATACCCTTATTAACTATCCCCAGGGCCTGTTATTCAAAATAAGTAATTTTTAGGCAATTTAAAATTTTTATAAAAGTAGATTTATTTTGTAGAGGTTTTATAAAATACAGGCATTATTTTATGTTTAGTTATAATAATAAAAATAATTATTAGTTAGTCATTTTTAAATTTTATGATACATTCCTTGATTTTTGTTTTATAAAAATAATTTATTATTATATCATTTTAAAATTTAGTTAAAGTATATTTTTAGTTCTTTAATTTTACACAAAGTTTTATTTGAGTCCTTTAATATTATAAAATATATTTTTAGTCCTTTAATCCTAACACTGCTAGCTTAATTACAATTTTTTTTTCAATTAAACTTTTAAATAATGATAAAATATTTTCAAATATTAACTTATTAAATTTATTTATTTTTGAATAACAATGGTTATCACAAGAAACAATCATTTAGAACTAACAATATTAGGGTTAGAGGACTAAAAATATACTTTTTAAAATTAAGGAATTAAGTCAAAACTTTATATAAAATTAAAAGACTAAAAGTATACTTTAGTCTTAAAATTTGATGATATCTTCGTATATTTTGACTATTTAAAACACACATTTT